GAAAGTTCCTCAGGCATAAGACAGAGATCCCAGAAGTCCTATAACTAAAAACTAAATAGACCAAATAGGTGATATGAATGGAGATGTGGTAAGAATCATCACACCTGCATCCTTCTATAATTTGGTGGTTGTACTAATCTCTGAATGTCTTCATGAATATAGTATTGCTCTTGGTTTACTATTTGGGCCTTTTCCTACCATATTAGCCCTAACTCCATGAGTCATGCAACCACTTGGGAGATTCTGCCACTCTTTAATACGTCTATTCTACCTCTGCATTCTGGGGCTTCAGAAATAGTCAAAGTTTGAATGGGAAACCCACTGGGCCCACTGTAAGATAGACACATGACGAAACTTCATGGATCAGTCCATAAGACTCTCATGTGACTGGTGATTTACACGGGCATTTTAGGCCTTTGGGGAATTTGTATCAGTTCAGAGCCAAGGCCCCGTAACAAAACACAAACAAACAAAGACATGGAAAGTTCTACTTTTTTTTTTTCTCTAAGTCATAGTCACTCTGCTAATGGTCACAGGTAGCCTTGAAGAAAGCAAAGAGAAAGATGTATAGTACAATTTTCTGGCTATCTAACAAGACCTTCCTCAAAGGTAGTTCCTCCTCTTCATTCAAGGGTCTATGGCCTGGTTAAAGTCCAAGAACTAGTTGATGTGCTTTGTGATATTCAAAAGCTCTGTTCACCAGACCTAGAACACTTCCACTTATACAAATCAACTAAGACCTTAGTAGACTGCCTATCTATTTCAGTTCTAGGGACACCATGATCAATTAGTCAAAGTCACAGACCTCTATCTTGACCTCTGCTTCAATTCTGATACCCATTATGGTAATCAAGCCCATTGCATCTCTGTATCCTGGCTTGTTCCACCCTGGGGTCCCATCATCTGTTTGAAACTCAGGGATCCTGACCCCATCAGGACCATAGCATCAATACCCACCACCATTCTAGGCTTGCAGCAAATAGCCACGACAGCACTCTCCAAAGATGCCAGTGCTCCCCTCTCCCTGATATATTTTTCACAGTTTGTGTACTCTCCTAAGACACCCTTAGGGGGTGAGTAAACCAGTCTCATGATAATAAATCTACTCTACTTTCTGATTTCCTCAAAGCTTTGAATACTTTTCTCTGTATCAAAGAAGGTCTGGCATCTCAACTTCACTTGGTATAGGCCACCTTTCGATCCATAGTTCAATCCAACCAACTAGTCAAATAGCTAGAACTACCCTTATCTGTTTGACCTAATATACTGACATTGGCATCTGTATTGAGGGCATCCCATCAAAAAATCAGCCTGACCCAACACCTACACCAACACCCTCAAGACCCACTCCCACCCATGTTTCTCTTGATATAAATTAGCAAAAATCTTGCAATTGCTTTGGTGTATATTGCAATTCCTTATGAATCACACAACTGGGATTTACTGGGAGATGAATCTGGTTCTACATCGAGAAGCACAAAACATGGTAGGAGAGGACAGTCAGCAGTCTACTGCAAAATAACTACCTCAGGGAATCTCATTACAGATTCTTCAGGTGAGGGAAGATTAACCTCCTCAGACCAGAAAAGACAGGCTGCTGTTGACAGGCAAAGGAAGACTGGAGGAATTTAGGGGTTCAAGATCCCAGCTTCATCAGAATATGCCCAAATGTATTCCCAATCCAATTGTCAGAGTCTCAATGAACACTTTAACTTTATATGTGACCTTGTCAGCTTGGTGATTTAAAATAAGTTGAAACCATCCACAGGATTAGACATTGGTTTGATATTTAGAAATCTCAGACAGAAGGTTCCATGATATAAGGGCTTCTTTTATGGCAGAGATTTCTGGACCTTTACTTAGATCATAAGCTTGGAATTGAAAGCCCAAAGCTCATCACTTATTTTTCCTAAGTTCTTTAGCGTACCTAGAAGCAGCCAACCAACCCTGTAATATTTCTTATTTCTGCTAATATATTCTATGTCAGCAAATATACCTAAAGTTTTGCTTTGGATTATAGGTATCTACAGGTGACGTTTAAATAGGTTTGCTACTATATGCATTAATGGTTACTTACAACTTACAACTAATACCTTTTACTACTTACAATAGGGTAAGCAATGTCTTTAAATATATTCAGGTTAGAGGGGCACCTGGGTGACTCAGTTGGTTAAGCATCTGACTCTTGATTTTGGCTCAAGCCATAATCTCACGGTTCATGGGATCGAGCCCCGCATCAGGCTCTGTGCTGACAATGTGGAACCTGTTTGGGATTCTCTCTCTACCTCTTTCTCTACCCTTTCCCCACGGACTTTCTCTCTCCCTCTCAAATGTAAATAAACTTTAAAAAATATATCTATAGATAGATAGATAGATAGATAGATAGATATTCAGATTAGAGAACATGTAGTAGATAACCCAGGCCAAATTTCAGAACCTAAGTGTAGGTTAGGTTCCTACTCACATCCAATGCCAATATCTCTATTATATAGAGTTCAATCAAGGAAAGCAGAACCACTATGAATAATTTAAAATAAGGGATTTCTTAAAAGGATTGCATCTTCTAGAACTGTGGAAATGGGTGAAGAAATCCTAGATCCTTCTCACTGTTGATTTGTTTTTACAGAATAGGAAACCAGGATGATACGTGGAAAGATTATGTGATTAAAGTCAAACAGATATGGAGTTTGACATGTATTGGCTTTGAAATCTTGTCAAGTGACTCAAATTCTGTGAGCCTCAGTTTCCTCATCTGTAAAATGGAAACAATAATAGTTCTCAGGATTGATGTGAGGGTGAAAGAGATACTTGGAATATATCATATTTCATTGATCCCAAGATACCCAATATTCTACATTTTAACCCTTTTACAACAAGAATGAATCTTGTAATCAATGACATGTTATTATTTAATAAAGAACAACTTTTTTCTTTCTCAAGGCACATAAAAGAATGAGAGCCTAGAGTAATATCTCAAATAATTACAACTGCAGATATCACTTTGTTATCACACCAAGTGTGACCCTCAGTGCACAAGTGGAAAACCCCAACAGCCTCTACAGAACACAAGTGTTCTTCTTTATACATTCCATTCCTTTCTCCATTTACTAGACTAACCCTTCATCCCACATCCCTTGTTATTTAGATTAGTGGAATGGAAAAAGTACAAGTTTCAGAATTTGACATATTAAATTCTGGATCTTGCTGCTATGTGACATCCTGAGCTTCAGTTGAGTGCTCCATAATTGTGTATAATACTACTCACCCAAAAGGACTATTACAAATGAGATGATGCATGTAAAATCCTACCAGTGCCAAACATATTGTGGGTAGTCCATAAATTTTCCATTTTTTCTTCTGTCTCTCACTGCCACATTCTGTTCTACTGATCATTTGGAATAAAGGAAGGACTGATATTCTCGATCGGGGGTTGGCAAACTACAGCCCTAAAGCCATATCAGCCCACCACCTGTTTTTGTAAATAAAGTTTATTGGAATACAGTCACACTTACTTGTTTACATCTTGTCTATGGCTGCTTTTGTGCTACAAAAACAGAGTTGAATAGTTACCACAGAGACAGTATGACTTGCAAAGCTGAAAATGCTAACTATATGACTATTTATAGAAAAAGTTTACTGATCCCTATTCTAGATTCCTATATCACCTAAACCGACTTCCCACCATTGTCAAGGAAATGGAGAAAAGGGAACCCTCATGCACTGTTGATGGGGATGTAAATTGGTGCAAGCACTGTGGAGAAGAGTATGAAGGTTCCTCAGAAAGTCAAAAATAAAAATACCATATGATCCAGTATTCCACCACCAAGCATTTACGCAAAGAAAATGAAAACGCTAATTCAAAAAGATACATACACCCTTATGTTTATTGCAGCATTATTTACAATAGCCAAGATATGGAAGCAACTCAAGTCTCCATCTATAGACGTATGGCTAAAGGAGATGTGGTATACACACATACAGACACATATTTGTGCACAACGGAATATTATTCAACCATAAAAAAGAATGATATCTTACCATTTACAACAACATGGACAAACCTAGAGGGCATTACACTGAGTGAAATAATAAGAGATAGACACATATTATATGATTTCTCTTTTGTGTGAAATCTAAAAAACAAAACAAATATATTCTTAGTTTTTTAAGTGTATTTATTTTGAGAGAGAGAAAGGGAGCATACACAGAAGCAAGCAGGGGAGGAGCACAGAAAGAGGGGGGGATGAGAGAGAATCCCAAGCAGGCTCCATGCTGTGAGCACCGAGCCTGATGCAGGGCTCGATCTCATGAACTGTGAGATCATGACATGAACCAATATCAAAAGTCAGGTGCCTAACCAACTAAGCTACCCAGGTACCCCCAAAACTGACTCTTGAATACAGAGAACAAACTGGTGGTTGCCAGAAAAGAAGTGGGTGGGGGAATAGGCAAAGCAGGTGAATGGGATTAAGAGATATAAACCTACTTATTTATAAAATCTGTTTATATTTTATAAATATATCTTATTTATACATCCTTATATTTTATAAAATATTCTATTTATACATCCTTATGTTTTATAAATATACTTTATATATATTTATATATTCTTATTTATGTTTTATGAAAGAAAGAAGTCCTGGAGAGAAAGTACGGCATAGGAAATATTGTCAGTAAGTTTGTAATGATATTGTATGGTGATGGGTGTTGATTACACTTATCATGGAGAGCACCAAGTAATATACAGAATTGTTGAATCATGGGGCCCCTGGGTGGCTCAGTCGGTTAAGCAACCAACTTCAGTTCTGGTCATGATCTCACAGTCTGTGAGTTCGAGCCCCGTGTCGGGCTCTGTACTGTCAGCTCAGAGCCTGGAGCCTGCTTCAAATTCTTTGTCTCCCTCTCTCTCTCTGTCCCTCCCCCACTCATGCTCTAGCTCTGTCTCAAAAATGAATAAAAATGAAAATAAAATTTTAAAAAGAACTGTTGAATCACTATGTCGTATACCTGAAACCTAATATAATATGGTATGTCAACTATATTTCAATAATAAAAATAAATTAAATTTAAAAAATTAAAATCCCCTCCATCTGTGTTACTATGCTGCCTCGAGAGAACTGCATTAGATGAGAAAGATGTATGCCTCTTCCCAGTAAACAGGACACTTGGGCTCTGACCACAGCCTCAACACCAGCAGAGTGGAGAGGAGGGTTGTAAGACTTTCTGATGAGATAGCCAGGCCAAAGTGAAAGACAAAAATGTGACTTGGTGGTTTCTGTGGTTTCCAGACCTCCTCTTTCTTCCACTTCTGGGGTTATAAAAGCAGGAGCAAGGGAGGGCAGGGACAGAAGAAGCTTACCATGGACACCGTCGCTGGGAAAATGCAGGCCCTACTCCTTTTGTTGGCCTTTCTCTTACCTCCCGAAGCTGGAGCTGGTGAGTCTAGGGTGTAACCCCCTGTCAAAGAAGACCTTAAGTCAGGTGACAAGATCCATGGCAAGTATTCTAGGGGGGAATTTCCACCTGGAAGAGTCAGACTCTTTCCTTGATGTTGATGATAGTTTCCCTGGTATGTAAAGTCTTGGGTGGAAAAAGAATCAGAAAACTGTCTTTGGAAGTTCCTCCTAACCCACTTTCCTCAAAATAGCCACCATTTTGATTCATGGTCTTTCTTGGTCATTGCTCTCAGGTGGAAGAGGTCAGGATAGAGACATGAAGAAATGTTTAAATGACAGCTCAGAATCAAGACTAACCATCGTGTTCTGAAAGTAGGGTGAGGGTTGGTTGACAGGATGGATTGGGGTCCAGAAACCAGCAATAAAGACACATGGAGGTCTGAGCTCCATTGGAAGTAAGGTAAAAGGTCTTTGGGGCCTCAGCTTCCACCTCCTTTCCCTCACCCAGGGCTCTATCTTGGGTTCTCTGTTTCAGCGGAAATCATCAGTGGCATTGAGTCCAAGCCACACTCCCGCCCCTACATGGCCCATCTGGAAATCATCACTGACCAGGGTTATGTTGCCAGCTGTGGTGGGTTTCTCATAAGTCAAGACTTTGTGATGACAGCAGCTCATTGTAAAGGAAGGTAAGAAAACTCTGACTTACTCTCTTTTCCTGTGAGGAGCTTGTAGGAGCTAGAGTTACACGCAACTTCAAAGTGGCCTAAGGAGAGATTCTTGTGTCAGGCTCATCTCAAGATGATCAGCAATGTACTGGGAGGGACCAGCCCATTTTCATTTGCCGTCTCCACCTCCAGACACCAGAGCTTATTCAGGGCAACCAGGTCACAGCAAGCCAACCCTGCCTTTCTGTCCTGATGCCAGCCAGCTGAACTCGCCCAGTCCCATGTAGTTGCCAGGGCCTGGCCCTTCCCGAACCAACTATGATCTCTGAAGGGGAGGGAGAGAGGGGAGGGATGGACTTCTGTCCTGAGTAAGACCTGAGTTCTTCAGGTGGCCTTGTCCTGGGGAAGAAGAGAGACTGATGTCTCCTTGCTCAGAATGGACCCTTTTCAGAAGACCAGCACCTTTTCCTGCCTCTCTTCTCCTTCTCAACAGGAAAATTACTGTCACTCTGGGAGCTCATGACATAAAACAGGAAGAATCCACATGGCAGAAGCTGGAAGTCTCAGAACAAATCGTTCACCCAAATTACAACTTTTTCACCAACCTCAATGACATCATGTTACTGAAGGTGCCATTAGCTTTCCAGCATGTCTCCATCCTCCCTTCTTGAACTTTTCTCCTGACCTGTGCATTTCTCATTCTCCTTTTTCCAACCCATTTCCTGATGGCCCACCCCCACCCCACTCCATGTCATCACCACCCCACTGGGGAGAAACTCTTTGCCCTGCCCAGGGAGCCTCTACCACAGCACACCCCCCTTTCCCTGGACTGGAGGTCCATCTACTCTCCTTCCCTCACAGCTACAAACAAGAGCCAAGCTGACCCATGCCGTGGGGACAATCTCCCTGCCCACCAGGTCTACCTTTATTCCACCTGGGAGAATGTGCAGGGCGGCTGGATGGGGAAGAACGGGAGTGATGGAGCCGGTGTCAAATACTCTGAGGGAGGTGAAGTTGAGACTCATGGATGCCGAGGCCTGCAGCCACTATATGTTTTACACCCATAAGTTACAAATCTGTGTGGGCAACCCCAGGAAGACAAGATCAGCATACAAGGTGATCACATACCTACATTTTCTCCTCACAACAGTCCCTGGGAGAGGGGTGGGGTCACAAAGTCCCCTAGTACAGTGACTGGTGTCTGAGTTTGTGGGTTTCTAGCATCATGGGAACTGGAATCCTCCTTCTGGGTTCCATCCTCACATATCCAAGTCCTTCCTCTAACCCTCCCATCTAGTTGGTGGAACAGGCCTCCAGGAGAGAAAGGAAGAAATGGAGAGAACAGGATCTAGGCTTGTGGTTCCATGCCAGAGAGAAATAAGACATTAAACCCCTAATTTATGACTCCATGAGGAGCCAGGATTACTGATCTGAATCTAGGGTATCATGGAGCTAGCCAGGGTGCTGACAGAACCCAGATGAAGTGACAGTAGGGCGAGATGGACATACCTTGCTCATGATCTGCTTTCTCTAACCCACAGGGGGACTCTGGGGGCCCCCTATTGTGCGCAGGGGTGGCCCAAGGTATTGTGTCTTATGGACGTACAGACGCAAAACCCCCTGCTGTCTTCACTCGTATCTCCCCATACGTGCCCTGGATTAATAAAATCTTAAAGAAAGAGTAGCCACAGAAGCCTGGCCAGCCTGCATGAGAATCCCAAAGCCAGAGGCCTCCCTGAGTAGCCCTGGTTTCCACAGAGCCTGGCCCCAGCCCAAGCCCAGGGAGGCTCTCAGAGGCACACAAAGCCCCTGCTGATTGTATCCCCCAGCAAACTTCAATAAAGATGCTGCTTTCAGCATACTTATGCGTGTGAGACTCTTCTCTCTCTCACAGAGCTGGTCTGTTCTGATGGAGGAGTCCAGATCCTCCTCTCTGGCTTGAATGAAGAATTGTTCTGGGCTCCTTTCTTACCAGGTTAATAACCTTGTCTACTAATTTCCCTGTACACTGTGTGGTATTATGGATTATTGAAGAAAATATTTTGATCTACATATGAGATTTAACATCCAAAAGCAATGTTGACAATAATTTACCTTCTTCCCCCACTGCCTTCTATTCTTCCTCCTCCTCTCAGTTTTCCTCTTTCCTCAAAACCTGTGCCTCAACCTGGCTGCAGTTCAAAGCATAGATACACCCATAACAAACTCCCCATGACTGTTTCCAGAGATAATCCCAGGCCTAGGCTGTTGTTATCTTGTGCCCCTACACCCACTTCTACCTCACCATTATCATCTCTCTCAATACTAAGTCAGCAGCCAGGGAACTATGTGCCAAGGTGGAAAAGTAGGGAGGAGAAAACTTCCCAAGCATAAGAGCTCATAAAGGAGAGGTAGGGGTTAAACCTAGAAGTCCTCCAGATGTGTCTGTCTGTTACAAAAGTCAGAACAGAGTTGTAGGTGGGAGAGGGCCATTCTAGCTGAGGGGAGAGCCCCAGAAACATCAGTGTCATCCTAGTCTGTGAACTACATCAGAGCCACCCAAGATATCTTAGGTCTTCCGAAAGAAGGATATCTGACCTGGGCCAAGTTCTCCAAAATTCCGTCCTCCGAGTGACCTGCAACACTCTGAGCTGGGCAAACACACAGCCACACCTGCCTGAACACAGGGAAACAGGACATGAACTCCAGCTCACTCTCAGGATCCTGCAAATCAAGGACCTCCAAACAAGTTCCACCATAGTCCCTTAAAGGCCTGAGAAGGTATGCCTGGCCCCAGGCAGGAAAGAGCTGCCATTGCTGGCCACAGGGAACCCAGCACCTCCATCCTTCCCATTGCCTGCCAGCCCACAATTTAGGGTTTCCAGCTTTGCCGCTGATGAGTACAGATGTAAAAAAAAAAAAAAAAAAAAGCAAGCATAATAACATAATATACAAGAGTGATAATAAACTCTAACTCTATGTGGAAAACAAACATAAGTGTGTAAATTGGTACAGCCACTGTGGAAAACAGTACAGAGATTCCTCAGAAAATTAAAATTAGAAATACCGTAAGATCCAGTAATTTCACTACTCACTACTGGGTATTTACCCAAAGAAAATGAAAACACTAATTTGAAGATACATGCACCCTTATGTTTATTGCAGCATTATTTATAATAGCCATGATATGGAAGCAGCCCAAATGAGAGAGAGCACATCTCTCTCAAAATAAGTAAACACTTTTAAAAAGAAAAAAAACAGGGGCACCTGGGTGGCTCAGTTGGTTGGGCGGCCAACTTCAGCTCAGGTCATGATCTTATGGTTCGTGAGTTCGAGCCCTGTGTCGGGCTCTGTGCTGACAGCTAGCTCAGAGCCTGGAGCCTGTTTCAGATTCTATGTCTCCCTCTCTCTCTGACCCTTCCCTGTTCATGCTGTCGCTCTCTCTCTCTCTCTCTCAGAAATAAATAAAAAAAACATTAAAAAATCTTTTTAAAAGTAAATAAATAATGAACAATAAAAGTAGAAAAGACAGGGGAGCCTGGGTGGCTTAGTCGGTTAAGCGTCCGACTTTCGCTTAGGTCATATCTCGCGGTTCGTGGGTTCGAGCCCCGCGTCGGGCTCTGTGCTGACTGCCAGCTCAGAGCCTGGAGCCTGTTTCAGAGTCTGTGNACAGGGGAGCCTGGGTGGCTTAGTCGGTTAAGCGTCCGACTTTCGCTTAGGTCATATCTCGCGGTTCGTGGGTTCGAGCCCCGCGTCGGGCTCTGTGCTGACTGCCAGCTCAGAGCCTGGAGCCTGTTTCAGAGTCTGTGACTCTCTCTCTCTCTCTGACCCTCCCCTGCTCATGCTGTCTCTCTCTCTCTCTCTCCTAGAAATAAATAAAACATTAAAAATTTAAAAAAAAAAAAAGTAGAAAGGACAACAGACAGAAATTTAAAGATACAAAAAGGATCTGGTGAAAAGTATTCTAAATACATAAATATAAAAGCAATAGCAAATATTATAATTTTCATGAATTAAAAGAAAATTTTATAAAAAATAATAGATCTATGTTAATGGTCACACAATGAATAAAATTTAATTTGTGATATATACTTGTGACACAAAGAAAACATGACTGTGAAAAAAAAAATTAATTACCTTTTCTTTTTTTTTTAAGTAGGCTTCATGCCCAGTGCAGAGCCCAAAACAGGACGGGATCTCATGACCCCAAGATAAAGATCTGAGGTGAGATCAAGAGTCAGATGCTTAACTGACTGAGCCACCCAGCCACCCCTAAATTACCGTTAAAGAAAGAAAAAACAGACATATGTCTGAAAAAAAATTTTTAGGGTTTTTTTAGTGGGTTTTTTTTTTTTTTACATTTATTTATTATTGAGAGACAGAGCACAAATGGGGCAGGGGTAGAGAGAGAGGAAGACACAGAATACAAAGCAGGCTCCAGGCTCTGAGATGTCAGCACAGAGCCCATCATGGGGCTAGAACTCATGACTGCTGAGATCATGACCTGAGCTGAAGTCGGATGCCCAACCGACTGAGCCACCCACGCACCCCAGTGTTTATTTTTGAGAGAGAGAGAGAGCAAGCACAAGTGAGGGAGGGGCAGATAGAGAGTGAGACAGACTCCCAAGCAAGCTCTGAGCTGTCAGCACAAAGCCCAACGGCCTCAAACCCACAAACCGGAGATCATGACCTGAGCCAAAGTCAGATGCTTAACTGACTGAGCCACCCAGGCGCCCCGTCTCACAAATGTTTTAAAAGAAAAAATCAGAAAGATCTCAAAAATAAAAGAACGCATGCTACAATGGTAATTACAAGATGTGTTTTTTTTCTGTTAGGTCAAAATCTCATTTTATATTTGTATAATTAAACAGTTTTAAATATGAAATACACAGAACAGGGACATTATGTGTAATGTCTGCTTGGGAGACCAGAGCATGCACTGAATTGCTGCTAAGACCCCACACACTCCTGACCCCTTAGGACAGCACATTTTACAGCAGCTCTCTTCCCAGGAAGCCAGACCGCTGGGGACGTGGACCAGAGGTCAGCCTACCCTGACAGCCTGGCCTCCAAGCAGTACTGGGGCCTGTCGAGACCACAGGGGCCTTGACTGTCTGCAGGATGACTTGGGCCCCAAGGGACTGACAGGGCTGGAATGGGTGTGCACCAACATGAACTCTCATCCATTGCTGGGGGAGTGCACAGTGGTACAGCCACTTTAGAAAGAGTTTGGCAGTTTCTTAGAAAATTAAATATACACTTACTGTATGACCTAGAATCCTACCCCTGGCTGCTTACCTTACAGAAATGAAAACTTAACTTTACACAAAACCTATACCCAAATGTTTAGAGAAGCTCTATTCATAATTACAAAAACCTGGAAAGAATCCAAATGCCTTTCATCAGAAGCACCAGGGAAAATCCTCAGTGATGCCTGGAGGGCTGGCCCACCCCCATGCTGTGGGTTCTGTACGCCACTGCCTCTGATGTCTCACATAACTTCCCCTCAAGCTGTCCCAACAGCCTTACCAGCAGCTTTCTACCTGCAGCTGGGAGCATTTGCCACTCAAGGAACAAAGGAATCTCCTTGCAAGTAAGAACACAGGACATGGAGAAAAAAAAAAAAAAAAAAAACAAGACAAATGAGACACCCGTAAGAGGCCTCAACATAGAAAGTAATCCCGGTAGGAGGAGGATACCAGCCCATTCTAGGGCTGTCTAGAAAACAAGTGGGTCCAAATCCAGGAATGATCAGTGTGGCCCACAGGATGCAGCCGTGGAGACAGTGGGCTGAGCCTCTAGACACTGACTCAGTCATGACAACAGCCACAGATTAACTGAGCATGTTGTAGACCCCTGGAATGGAAATAATAGCTGTAGCCTCACCAGTCTCTCCCACAGTCCACCCAGAAAAGATAAGGCCACCATGGGCACGTGGTACCATGTTAATTCTAAGGTGAAGAGGAGGGCCCACCTGACCGATGCTGAGAGTGACGGGGGAGTGGTAGCGTCATAGGATCCAGAGGAGAAGCTGCCCAGGGCAAAGGGCTTGCCCAAACTCATGAGAAGCGACACCCTAGGGCTTTCCCTGCTCAAACACGAGCCTATTGCAGGAATGGTAAATGGAAAAAAGACCTAGCAGAAGGAAATCCAAAAAAGCACCCTTGGGTGGGGGGTGGTTCTTGCTGAAGAGCATGTGTGCGGCCATGAGACCCATTCCTCCCAATCCAAAACTTGAAGTCACCTCCCAGGACCTCTCCATCCATCATTCCCCTGGATAATCTGTCCACTGGAACAACCATGCTGAGAGCAGTCATTCAAAAAGTGTGGTAGGGCTGGAGGCCTGGGAACAGGAACCTATATCGGCTTATATCCTTGCAAATTATTCTGCAGATATTGAATGTAAACCAGTAGCACTTAAATTCAGAAGAACTTGGTCATTCAAAAACATCAGTCATTGCAAGGGCAAGCGCAGTGAGCACCAGCCTGCTGCGGGAAACTGTGGCCAATGCCTTTAAGAATGTACTGTCCCCGCTCCAGTGCCCTGCTGTTCAGTCGGAGGCAAGAAGGCACAAGCCCACGCCATCAGGTGTCCCTGTCCTTAGTATTTCTTACAAGAGACTGTAACATGTGTGAAAGTTTACAGCTGTTCTAGTCCTACATGGCAGCTTGAGGGTTAAACCCACATCAGTCACATGCTCAATCCAAAAAGACCCAGTTATTACTCAAAGAACAAGGTTAAGAAACAGCCTGGTGACTTAAAGTTCAGCAAATAAAACAAGACGCTGTACAAAGCAGGACATGACTCAAGTCTGGTAAATCCAATTAATCTGTAATATGTTTAGGGGAATTTAGAGGAAAAGATAAACAGTCTCCAGAGGGGACATATGCACCATTTGCCCATCAAACGGTTATAGGACAGCACAAGATATAACACAAAAGGACAAAATCAGTGTTTATTAAGGATCAACCAGGTGGTATTTTCCTTTAGCACCATATTTAATTCTCAAAAACCCTGTTTCATATCATTCTTCATATTTTGCAAAGGTTGTAACTAAAGCTGAGAACTTAAGGAACTTTCCTAAGGTCAGACAGATAGTTAAGCGGCAGAAATAGGATTCAAGCTCTAACTGCAAAGCCGGCCACATGCCTTGAATGTCAAAGTGAATAATGGCGCTAATGATAAATGTTTCAGGAAGTCAGAGAAGGGATGATCCCTCTGCATTATAGTAGCTGAGGAACACTGCTATCACTAAATGCCAGTGTTTTTACAGCAGGCCCAACCCTTTCCTTCCCGCTAACTGTGTATCTTAAACAAGACTCTGTCCAACCTCTAATATCTTCAGCAATGGGGAAATCACTTGCCTCCCCTCCCCACACTTTCATGTTGTAACAACAGATTATTAGCAAACTCTTCCTTATGCAGAGTCACCATCTTCCTCACATGCTGAGGAATCAGATACAGAGGCTATGTAGCCAGGAAAACAATGGTGAGCTACAGCACAGGATTCCTCAGAAAAGGCTTCACAGTCCATTGGCTTGGCCCTCAGGCAGCACCAGACAGGTGACTCACAACTAATTTTTCCCCAAAAACCAGACCCCTCATCCACTCACCCTCACTAGAAAAGTTTATTCCACATTATGCCTACTCCCTCTGATTACACCTTTCTAAGTCAAAGTTTATAACTACTCATCTGATTGGCAGAATCTTAGTCACATGACTAGGGCCTGGATGCAAGAGAATCTAAGAAAGGAGTTTATGGATTCCACCTTAGGAAAGCAAGAATCATAGTTGGGAATTCCTCTAATATAAGAAGGGTGTTCAAAAGACACTATGGACCCACCACATACATGGCAAATGTCCACTACAAGCCATCACTTGGCTGCCACACACTCCTTCTCCGTACCTAACCTTCCTAAAACAAAGGTGTTCTCATTGAACATAACCCTCCCTATCTCTTATACAAAGAAAAATAAGACTTGACTCTCTCCAGAACTGATGTAATCCAGTCTCATCAGTTACTGCTTTCAACTCCAAGTACAGGATCTCTGGGTGATACCCATTCCATCTCTAATCTAGTCAGACTCCCAAAGTGATATTCTGTAAACCTTGGACTAAGTCGAAGGTTCACCACCAACAACATACCATATACAAAATAGCAGAAGGAGGGCAGAGGAGAGAGAAAAAGGAAATCGGTTCAAATATGCAAATACACAAAGACAGAGCAAGGAAGAAACCATGGAAAATATGGACAGAAAATGCCAATTTTATTTTTCTGAAATTGGCACCTGACCAGAGCTATACCTGTTCCACTCTCTTGCCCTCAGCCAGTACAAGTGAAACAAAAACTGAATGTTGATGAACCTGATCTTTAATAATACTATGGCACTAGCATACTGGCCCCGGACTACCTCCCCCCTCAACTTCTCATTACATGAGTGAAAAACAGAAATGTTTCATTTGCTTACTTCTCTGATTTTGAGTCCCACTGGTGCAGGGCCACAGGACAGGACTTCTCCAGGTCCAGATTCTCCTCTGTTCTGTTGATTATAGAATGCTCAGAGTAAGGTTGCTGTCTTTAGCAAATAAAAATGCAGGATTCCCAAATACATTTGAATTTCAGATTGACAATTTATTTTAGTATAAGTATGTCTCATTTGATATTGAGATAGACCTCTACTTAAAAATGATTTGTTGTTCATCTGAAACACAAATTTAACTGTGCATTCTGTATTTTATCTGGCAGATAAAGAGAGTCAAAAAATTAGTACAGGGACTCGTCAGACATTAGAAATATATGTAAGGGTAATTATTCTAGAGAGAGTCAGAGCTGAGGGCAACGGAGGACCTAACCAGTACTTACTAAGCAATAGACCACTGCAGTCACAAACCCAAGCTGAGAGTAATGGCATAGTAGAATGATTTGGGGAAGGTATTTCCCCACCTCTGAACTAAATGGTTTCTCATTTAACTCCAAAAGGAATTGACACTCCACCCTGTTACCCAACTCTCCCCTAGACTCCCTGCTTCTCCAAGTCTGGGAAAACAACAAATATGTACTTGAAACTCCGTCATGATGGTTATGAGTTGTGTGTTCTTAGCCATGTTAATGTGTCTGAGCCCCAATCCTACATCTGTAAAGTGACAGTCATGGTATTGCCTGAAGTTGTTGTGGAATTAAAAGAGTAAAACCTCAGATTTGACCTCTGTGTACATTCTATTTCAGCAAAATAAGTTTGAATAATAATGTGAGAATAGGAAACCCCAGGCTCCCAGGGCAAACCACTCTTCTACATCTCTATCCCCATTGGCGAGACTCTATTTCTCTTTTTCTCTTTGGTGGTAGGGTGGAGAGGCCCTTGATTTGGAATAAGAAAAATCTATTTCTGATCCAGAAGTCCTGATAGCCAATCCATAAAACTGAGCTAATCATACCCACTTCACAGGGTTGTTATGCAAATATAGCTAAGAGTTGGGACAATAAATGAGTCATAGGCTCTCAAAAAATGCTAATTCCAATCCCATTTGCTCTTGTGATAATGTGTATAAAATCCTACCTACCATACGGTATGTTCCCTTCCCCCATCTACTCTCCATAGATCTTTCTTCTGCCTATGAACATCTGGTTCAGAGGAAGAGAGAGATCCAGATCAATGTTTTTCAAATTGCAGGTGGTCATCCTTTAAGTGGGGTGCTGTTCATATTTTAATATGGAGTGGATGGGGTGCCTGGGTGGCTCCGTCAGTTCAGTGTCCAACTCTTGATTTCAACTCAGGTCATGATCTCGAGGTTCATGGGATCAAGCCTCACATTGGGTTCTGCACTGTCAGTATAGAGTCTACTTGGGTTTTCTCTCCCTCTCTCTCTACCCCTCCCCTGCTCACTTTGTTCAGTCTCTCTCTAAAAATAAATCAACATTTTTTTAATTTTAAATAAAACAATATGGAGTGGAATGGAATGAATGGAAACCGAAAGCACTGCCCATGACAAGGATAAATATTGTTTCCTGAAACTTTTGATTCATTTGTATGTGGTATGTTTGTGCTCACGTAGGCAGGTACACATATATATAGGTACTGGGTCCCTTTGCAAAATGCATTTCCTATTGTGGGCCATAAAAGTGCATATGTTTCTGGACGCTCTGTGTAAGGACTCCCCCCACCCATGTTTCTGATGAGCCTGTAACGAGTTGCCCTAACTGGGAAAGACACGATCCCCCCACCTCCCCTCCCCAGATAAGGCACCATGGTTGAAAGCTCATCCTAGACGCCAAAACTTGAGGGTCAGGCCTCCACCTCACCTCCAGCAAAACGGAGGGTAACTTGGGGGGAAACTTCTTATCAGAAAGACCATCAGTTTAGGCTGGGAGAAGAAAACATGACCACAGAGTTTCTGTGGTTACCAGCCCAGCCCTTCGCTCATCGCTGGAGTTATAAAACCCAAGCCGGAAAATAGAGGCAGCATCTGCCCCGGGCAGCCTCTCTGAGAAGATGCATTGTCTTCCTCTCGCCCTGCTGCTCCTTCTCCTCTGCTCCAGAGCTGAAGCTGGTGAGTCTTGTGGTCCTTTCCTCTGGAAGCTGCAGGATCAGCCCCCAAAACAAAATTTAGTCTGAATATAGCAGACTCTCAAACAGGATCACAGGATCTCTCTGCGAGAATCCAGAGTGAAGTTCCACTTGGGATACGCACCCCCGCAACCCCAGTCTCCGTAGCCTATGGTAGTTCCCAGGGACCAAGTCCAGAACTAGGCTTTGTCCAGGGCAAAGCCCAGAACAGGTGGAAGGAAGAGGGGGCATCTTGTCATGACTAAACGTGAGATACTATGTAGGAGGTCCTACGTTCTCTTCATCTTCTGAGCTTCCAGGCTATACTTTACCTTGTAAGGTGGCTGTTCTGTGACACTGCTCACAAGCTGTGGAGAAGACTGAGACTGGGAGCTGGAGAGCCTGCCCTGACCGGTGGCGGGGGAGCATGGAGGCCCCAGGCACAATGGCAGTAGGGAAAATTCAAGGTGAAAGAGGCCTGAATGGCATCTGAGGCCAGACTGGCTGCTGTACCTGGAAGAAGGAATGAGAATTTATATGAGAGGTTGTGGGTGGGGACACCAGATACCAGAGCCTCTTGAGGAGGACAACAAGGCAGAGTCAAGGGTGAGGATGAGATTCAAGAGAAGCCCCTCCCAACTTTAGCCCAGCCTATGCATTCTCTGTGTTCAGGCCGTGGGGCTCTCTGTTCCAGGGGAGATCATCGGGGGCACAGAGTGCAAGCCACACTCCCGCCCTTACATGGCCCACCTGAAAATTGTCACTTTCAATAATGGACTGGCATCTTGTGGTGGTTTCCTGATAAGACGGAACTTCGTGCTGACGGCTGCCCACTGTGCAGGAAGGTGACACAGCAGGGTCCCATTTATCTCCCTTCTGGAGATAAACAGCCAGGGTGGCAGCCAAGGACACACCCTTGGGCAGACTGAGGAGAGACTCCTAGGGCTGGGAGAGGCAAGACTTGAACTTAAGGAACTTGGTCCCATAAGTGATGAGATTCCCTGATCTTCAATCACTGTGAGCTCAGCTCCCCTACAGAGGAAAAGGAGTCCCTATCCAAAAGTCCCTCCTCTAAAAGTAGCTCCCCTCTCGCCAACCCCAGCCAGTTTTCCAGGCCACTTCCTCTATGCCTTTCCAAGAACACTGGCCTTTAGTTCTCAGGGACTTAACCCATCTTTCCATGGGAGGCAGACAACAGGGGACACCAGGGATCCCACCACCTCACCTCCCCCTTTCCTCTGATATCTCCTGGCCCTCACACAGGGCTCCCTGAATTAGGAAGTGCTAACCCTGTCCCCTGGATCCTCCATGGTCTACTCAGTCCCCAGCAATTTCTGAGGTTCCTGGAAATTGTCCATGTTCCCTGAGAAAGCTATTCCCTGAGTAAAACATGAGCCCTCCTCCCCCCAAATACTATAAGTGGCCCAGGGAAAGGGGGGTGGGTAGAGTCCAATGACCCCCATTATAGACTCTAGTCCTCTTTTCTCAGAAGGGCACATCCCAGGAGAAACCCCAGACCATCACAATTTTCTCATGGTCCTTCCTTCTCCCTCACAACAGGTCCATAATGGTCACCCTTGGAGCCCATAACATACAAAAGAAAGAAGACACATGGCAGAAGCTTGAGGTCATAAAACAATTTCCTCATCCAAAATATGATGACAGTGCTCTTCTCCATGACATCATGTTACTGAAGGTAATAACTTCTTTCTCCACCTTTTCCGCATTCCATTCTCTTCGTTTTCTCCTTCAGGTCTCCATTGGCCTGAAATTTCCCCAACCTGCCTCTGGACTCCAATCCCACTGACTCAGCCATCGCATGTAGTTCTAATGCAAAACAGATTGCCCTATCCTTCGATTTCCTCCAACTGCCCTGTCACCCATTTCTGGCACTGACAGCCCCTCATGCCTTCCACAGTTGAAGGAGAAAGCCAACCTGACCCTGGCTGTGGGGACGCTCCCCCTTCCACCCCAGTTCAACTTCATCCCCCCTGGGAGAATGTGCCGGGTGGCTGGCTGGGGAAAAACTCAAGTGAATGGCCGAGGCTCCAATACACTGCAAGAGGTGAAGCAGAGGCTCATGGATCCCCAAGCCTGCAGACACTACCCAACTTTCCACCACAACCTCCAGCTGTGTGTTGGCAATCCCAGGAAGACAAAATCGGCATTTGAGGTGATTCTCAGACAAGAGTTCTTTTCCACAAGTCACTCTTTGGGGTCCAGACATCTCGTGGAAGAAGATGGGGTGGGAAGGTTGTCAGCCAACGACAGGGTTTCAGATCATGGGCCTAAGGAACCGGGATTGCCCCCTGCAGATCTGTTCCCCCCATGGCCCCATGCAGTCTCCAAGCACCCCTCCCAGGCTGCCACACAGGGCACATGGGGCGGCAAGAAGGAAACAGAAAAGGGCACATGGGGCAGCAAGAAGGAAACAGAAAAGATGTATAACCCCCTGAGGACTCAGGGCTGCTGGGTCTGATCCCAGGTCTCACTGGGAGTGAAGGACTTCCCAGCTCACCTTCTGTGTTCTCTCTCTCTCTCTCTCTCTCTCTCTGCCTCACAGGGAGATTCAGGGGGCCCTCTTCTGTGTGCTGGGGTGGCCCAGGGTATCGTATCCTATGGACGGAAGAATGCAAAGCCTCCTGCTGTCTTCACCCGGATCTCCCACTACCGGCCCTGGATCAATGAGGTCCTGAGGCAGAATTAAGCCTGGATGGAGGCTGGGCCAACCTGAGGGGAAATCTGGAACCGGACCTGAGCAGGTTCTCTGTGCTGCTCACTCTCGAGCTGCCTCTGATCTCTGCTGAGGCCCTGCCGCATCCCTCAGACCCGAGAGGGCCCCTCCAGGTCACAGAATCTTCAGTAAACCTCAATAAAGACCCAGCTTCCAGACTTGAGCATGTGTCTTCTCTCTGATGCTCCCTTCTCTTGGCACAATGCAACTGGCCTCCAGCCCAGGCAGCCTACAAGCTTCAGAAAGAGTGGGGGTGTGCAGGGGCCGGTGGGGGGGTGGGGAAGCATGAGTTACAGAGAGGAAATAGTGAAGAAAAATTAGGGAAAGAACGAACAGAGAGGGAATCCCTGGAGAGACAAGATCCATACTTCCAACTTACACAAGATGTTATGCCAGACCCTGTAATCATCAACTCTGTACCAACTCGAATCTATCTTTAGTGATATCCAGAATCACTAAGAACATTGTGAATCGCAAGCAAAGATGTAGGATGTCTGGAGCATCCCTGGCCTCTCCCCACTAGGTCCCAGGAGTAGCGCCCCTCCACTGAGTTGTGCCAACCAGAAGTGTCTCAGGGCACTGCCAAGTGTTCTCCCAGAGGCAGGGGAGCAGGAATCAACCTCAGTGAGAACCACCAGCTTAGATATGTGATATAAGGAAGGCAGTTGGTGCCACATAGGGCCCCCCTTGCAGTCCACCTCGATAAGAGGAGATCTACTATCTGCGGGCTTCAATCGGAGATGCAGAGAAGATTGTCTCTCTCCGCTGCAGAACAGAGAGCTGGAGCCGATAAGGGGAGGGATAGCATCACAATCCTGCACGAGCAACTCCCAGCCACGAGGGCCGCGCCCAAACCAGCAGGAAGTCAAAAGCCTAGAGACTACTCAACACGAAGTCTTGCCAGTTGAGAGACTGGCTAGAGGAGAGAAAACAGGGCGGAAGGACGAGGACAGGCACACCAGGAGCCTGAGGCTGACAGCCCTCCTGGCTTCTGAGGGTACAGTGAATCCCTGCCTCCAGCAAACTCTTTCTAGCAATTTCACCTGAAAAACATAATCAGAGATTATGTCTCTGGTTACTTCTTACAGGAAGATTCAGGAACAAAGATTTTAATCACAGCATTGTTAATAATGGAAAATTTGGAATCCCAGCCATGGAACAAAGCTTAAATGGCAAATGTATATGACTGAATATTTTGAATTCATTAGAAACTTGTTTTCAAAAACACTCAGTCATGTGGGAAAATGCAAAACTTCAATGTAATGTCATACGGATTTGTTTTTCCTGGGAAGACCCTGGACTCTTCCTCTTCCCACTGTAAAATATCGCTTGACTGAACGTCCCTCTACTCTCCACGAGAGATTAAGAAATAGCTAACAGGGGCGCCTGGGTGGCTCAGTCAGTTAAGCGTCCAACTACAGCTCAGGTCATGATCTCACGGTTTGTGGGTTTGAGCCCCGCGTTGGGCTCTGTGCTGACTGCCAGCTCAGAGCCTGGAGCCTGCTTCAGATTCTGTATCTCCCTCTCTCTCTCTGACCCTCCCCTGCTCACGCTATGTCTCTTTCTCTCAGAAATAAATAAAATATTTAAAAAAAAAAATTTTTAAGAAGAAGCTAACAGATCTCTGCCTGGATTATGTGATTTGTGACATTTGGGGCCATTATTTACTGAGTCTATGTTTTTTATTAAATGTTGAAAGGCTTCTGTCCTTACTCAACCTTTCGGTCCTTTCAATTTATTTGGACAATTTAAAAGTGTTTGGACTTTTGTGTTTGTGTCTTTGTTACACGGCTTTAGGGCTATGAAACACCATGACTGCCCAGAAGAGGATTTGGATGCATTACTCAGAGTTCATTTCCTCATCAATTAGGAAACGACTGCATTATTGGGCCGGGGTAGCCAAGAAGCAGAGATCTTTGCTAGAAGATGGTTTTCCCAATGACCATCTTCTCTGATTTCCATCTCATGTGCGAACTTATCTGGGCTGGGCTTGCAGGCTCTGAAAAGTGTAGCACAATTTTCCATAGCCAGCCCCACCTCTGGGCTGTGAAACAGCCACATCATTGTGTTCTTTTGGCCTTTATCCCAAAGGGTCTGTCTGTCAGGTCTCCGCAGTGGCAGATGGCACAATCACACAGGGTAATTTAGGAAAAGTTCAGTGGAGGATCTATCTATGTGCAAAGGGAACAGGAAGCCACTGGGGCATGGTGACACATCCCACAGCTGGCAAGAGTTCGGAACCACCACCGTCCCTTTGGCATGAAGGGGGCTGGGTAATAAGCGGTTACTGGAGCCCAGAAACACAGCTGGAGCTCCACCTCCCCTTGCTCTAGCTGTAGCTGCAGGATGGGAGCTGTGGGCTACGGAAGGACCCACAGCCAACTAATTCTAAATGGTTTCCCGTGAAAGAACTGTGTGAATAAATTCTACTGTATCAATCTCCTGCTCCCCAATTCCTGCCTGTGCTCCCATTGGCCAATCCTTTTATCCTAAGTTTGTTTGTTTGTTTGTTTGTTTATTTATTTTGAGAGAGAGAGAGAGAGAGTGTGTGTGTGTGTGTGTGTGTGTGTGTGTGTGTGTGTGTATTCAGGAGAGGGTCAGAAAGAGAGGGAGAGAGAGAATCCCAAGCAGGCTCCATGCTGTCAGCCCAGAGCCCACAGGGCTCCATCCCCTGACCCTGGGATCATGACCTGAGCCAAAATCAAGAGGTGGATGCCACCAAGGCACCCCAGGTCAAAGTTCTAAAGCCACACTCTATTCTATTCCCAACAGCCTCCCTAACTCTTCCTCTTGTTTGACAGAAGAAAAAGGCAAAGATCATATCACTGAGCCTTACATAGGCTCAAGCCTGTGCTAAAGTGGTTTTCAGTGCAGGAGAGGTAGCTGGCCCAGGAGGGATACCTTTGTGATTCACTTCTATGTGAGAGGCAGGGACTGCTACATTTTTAAGACAACCCCTCAAGAGGGAGACTTCTGGCCCGTCAGTGACAGAGGCCACCAACGAGGTCAGAGCTACTGCAGGAGCCAGAGAGACATCGTTTGATCACTGGGTAGCAGTGAAGTGCTAACACTGGCTCCTACAGACAGGGGTATGACTGGATTCCACCACTCCATCCCGGAGAGGGGACACACTCCCGTGCTGGAGAACACGAAGGACCACTAATGGAAGCTCAGCTAACAGCTTCAGGAGAATGAAGTACTTGATGTCTCCTCTGCCTTGTGTTCTGCCCTCTTTGCTCAGCATTTTATAAACTGCTTCTCTAGTTGCCCAGTGCCCCAGCTGCATCTGAAAGAGCTGCTGACCTCAGATCCTCCCACCACCCTCTATCTGATCTTCTGGAGATATCTTCTCATCCTTGGCCAAAGGAACCTACAACATATCCAGAACATTTGAAGGCCCTTGCATATAGGATATGAGGGGATAATAATACTTGAAAACCTAATATGCAGCCATGGCCCACCTACTAGAGCTGAGACCTATGCACCAAGTGACAAAGTCCTCGTCTGTCTGCATCTCACAGTAGGTCATTTGGGTTCTTGACCCCACGCTGTGGTTAATTCCCTGGTCTCTGACGGCATACTTGGCATGTATATACAGGACTTAGAAGCTAATAGAACTCTCTTAATGATTCCTTGATTTATGAAATAAAGTCCATTTGGATAAGAAAGGCTGAGAGGAGGGGCAGCTGCCTGACCCAGTCAGAGGGTAGAGCATGAGAATCTTGATCTTAGGGCTGTTGAGTTTGAGCCCCACATTGGGTGAAGAGACTACTTAAAAATAAAATCTTTTGGGGGCACCTGGGTGGCTCAATCAGTATACAGCTTTGGCTGAGGTCATGATCTCATGGTCCGTGAGTTCAAGCCCCACACTGGGGTCTGTGCTCATGGCTCAGCGCCTGGATCCTGCTAAGGATTTTCTTTGTTGCCCTCTCTTTCTGCCCCTCCCCCACTCACACTCTGTCTCTCTCTCAAAAATAAACATTAAAAATGTTTTTTTAAAAAATAATAAATAAAATCTTTTTTCTTTCTTTTTTTTTTTTTTAAAGGTCTCAGTTGGTTAAGCGTCTAACTTTGGCTCAGGTCATGATCTCACGGTTTGTAGGTTTGAACCCCTCATTGGGCTCTGTGCTGATAGCTCAGAGCCTGGAGCCTGTTTCTAATCCTGTGTTGCCCCCTCTCTCTGTCCCCCACTTCTTGCTTTCTGTCTCTCTGTCTCCCTCTCAAAAATAAAAAAAAATTTTTTTTTAAATAAAAAAAATTGCTTTAAAAAACATTTTTTTAAAGCTAAAGGGAAGAAAAAGGGAAGAATGTGTAGCTGCCTCCCCACCTCTGGCCAAAATGATAAATCAGAAAGAATACAGCATCCCAAATGAAATGCATTGTGTCATGGCACTCTTAAAGATTTAAAGGCAGTGGGGCGCCTGGGTGGCTTAGTCGTTAAGCGTCCAACTTTCGCTTAGGTCATGATCACGCGGTTCGTGGGTTCAAGCCCCGCGTCGGACGCTGTGCTGACAGCCGGCTCAGAGCCTGGAGCCTGTTTCAGAGTCTGTGACTCCCTCTCTGACCCTCCCCTGCTCACGCTCTCTCTCTCTCCTAGAAATAAATAAAACATTAAAAAAAAAAAGATTTAAAGGCAGAGTTCCAGTTATCCTGGAAAGCCAGATATACCATGGCAATGGACTTGCATAAACTTTACCACGTGGTAGCCCCCCAACTGCTGCTGCTATTTTATATGTCATATCTTCATGAGGATAGATCAACACAGCCTCTAGCATTTTATATGTGACTTCGGATAAAGCAAATGTATTCTTTCAGTCCGCACCAGGAAGAAGGAGCAGAACAGTCTGCACTCACCCGAGAAGGAAGGCAGTCTGAATTTGCCGTCTTGTCTCAAGATTATGGCAACTCTCCAGTTCTCTTACAGGATAAGCCCAAAGAGGTTTTTAGGTCTGGACATTGCCCAGAACATAGAACCAGCCCACTATCTTGATGGCATGGGCCACTAAAGAGAGCTGTGTCTAGTAGGCCTCTTTGGATTTTGGAGATAGCATATAAACACCTGAGAATATTGTTCTGGCCCACTTTAATGGATGCCTCGGAAATCTGATGACAGTTTCAAGAGAAAGTCTTCCAAGGCAAGAGAGCAATCTGTAGCAGGTTCAGGCAGAACCCAATGAACCCCAGAAGAACCCATAGGTGTTATAGGTACTCATGATAGATAAGCATGATTGGTGAATTACAGCACAGACCTTTAAGGTTCTGTAGTAAAGCCATGCCTTCTGTAGCAGAGTTATTTACCATACAAAAAGTAGCTCCTGGGAAGCTACTGGGTCCTAATAGACACTGAGTATCTGATCTTGGGCCATCAAGTGACTGTGATCAGACCTACTGAATTCAAGGCCTTAGTTCCCAGATAACAGACCAGGGGATTTGCTTCCACGGGGGCTGAGGATATAGTAAGGGTTTCACTAAATCTAAAGTTATGGCTGCCAGCCTGTCTTGATAACGAGTGAATCTCTAGGCAACAGTTACCTCACTACCATGAATAACTGACCCTTATTATCATACAAAGATAGAGTTGTCACATAATAAGGGCAGGGAGGAGTATGAGGCATTCCTTGGTGCTTCTATGCCCAGTGGTAACTAAAACCTGTAACCACAGCAACCCATCCCTCAAAAAAAACAAAAGCAGAGTAACCTCAGAGATAAAGGTCTAGGTTACCGCACTGGGTAAACAATTAAACCAACAGAAGAGCTTGCCACAGGGTGGAGCAGGAGGGGGGGTGGGGAATGGGTGCCAGAGGAGGAAGACAGCAAATACTAATAATGGCCCCAGGACCAACTTCAACAGGAGGGACTATAGCCTATCTTTATAAAGTGATTAACATTTAGGAGAAAGCCAGAATAGCAAAACAGCATGGAAATCTTTTTTCTGTCTCGCGTCCATGAAATACAGCCAGATCAACACTAAACCATCCTGCACACCTAGAAAACTGATCTGAGGATTAATACAACAATCTACACAACCTGACCCACAGAACTCAGCAGGTACACAGCTCAGAGAGGTGAACTGGGGGAGAGAGAGGGCATGGAGGACAGAGAGCCCTTTTTGCTTGTGGAGAGAGGAAGGAGACAGGGAAGAGTAAGGGAAAAGCACTCCCTCCCTCCCAAAAAAAAGCCAGCTAGAAAGAAAGTGTTAAAAAAAAAAAAAAAAGGTGGAAGCAGTCGCAGTGAACTAAAAAGGGAGAAAAGAGAGGGTTTAAATTCCATTAAGACCCTCTAAACAGGGAGAGCACAGAGGCTCAAACTCCACAGCTCAAATACCTGTGGTGCTCTGGTGGGAAGGGCAAATTCCCAGGAGAGTGGGTCCGGGAGGTCCTCTGTCCACGCGAGATTTTCCACAACCCTGGAAAAGCGGCTGCTTAGTAACTTAGTGAAATTTTTCTGGGATGGGCTGGCACCCCGCCACAAGTCTGTGGACACAGGAAGCAGCAAGGTCTCACCAGCATTCCTGGGTGCTACTGGCACCCGGCCATTGCTCCATGAGACCCCCTCCCCACCCCACCCCAGAGGATCTGAGCGGGTCAAAGCATCAGTCCCTCAGAAGTGAGGGGTCAGGAAATACAGCCGCATCTCAGATAAAACTCAGGAGCAAGGTGCAGCCTGGCAACCTGATGGCATGATTAAGGACGGTGCAAAAGCAGGGAGTGGACTGAAACCGAAGACAACAGTGTGCGACTCCTAGTCAGGTAAAGCAGAGAGTTGTGTTACTCGCCTGGATACCTGGGTGACGCCATTTTCACCCCGCCCGCTCATGCGCATACACACCTACAGGCACCGCCGCAATCCACCCCAGTGAGCTAAGCATCGCCATCTAGTGGATAACGGAGCCATTACACTAAGCCCGGTCAATCCGGGCCAACCTGGCTTTTCAGGAACTCAACAATCTCTCCGGTGCTTAGTTTAAGGACTATAGTCCTCTATAGTTTAAGGACTTAGTTTAAGAACTATAAAGTGCTTTCCCCTAGTTTGACTTCTAGGGGAAAACAATGTAATATCAATCATATCTCAGTCGGTTTGCTGGCCCATCTATTCAATTTCCTTTTTTTTTTTTTCTTTTTTATTCTTTCTTTTTTGTTTATTTTCTTTTACTTGAATACAAAAAAGATAATTTAAAATTTTATTTTTATTTTCAATTTTTATTAAAAAAATATTTTCCTCTTTTTATGAATGAATTTTTTTTTACTTTTTTTTGTAAATTTTTCAGATTCTATTTTACTTCCATCATTTCCAATTATTCTATTTCATCATATTCATTTTCTCAAATTTTCAAACTTTTTTGGTTTGTTTGTATTTTCGGTTTTGTTTTTGTTTTGTTTCTTTTTTCCTTTCGTTTTCTTTATCCCTTTTTTCTCTAATCACTCAAGCTCCTTTGAATAACCAGAACAAAACACACCTAGGATTTAGTATCATTTATTTGATTGTGTGTGTGTGTTGTTTTTAATTTTTTAATTTTATTTTTTTTTCTTTTCCTCTAATCAATCAAGCTCCTTTCAATAACCAGACCAAAACAGGGGTGCCTGGGTGGCTTAGTCGGTTAAGCGTCCGACTTTCGCTTAGGTCATGATCTCGCGGTTCGTGGGGTCGGCCCCGCGTCGGGCTCTGTGCTGACTGCCAGCTCAGAGCCTGGAGCCTGTTTCAGTCTGTGACTCCCTCTCTCTCTGACCCTCCCCTGCTCACGCTGTCTCTCTCTCTGTCTCCTAGAAATAAATAAAATATTAAAAAATAAATAAATAAATAACCAGACCAAAACACACATAGAATCTAGCATCACTTATTTGATTGTGTGTGTGTGTTGTTTTTAATTTTTTAATTTTATTTTTCCCCTTTTTTCTCTAAGCAATCAAGCAAAAGAGCACGACTTAACCATAAGAGAAATCACTGACTCATTAAAAAGGAACAACATCACAATCGTAGGGTTCCCAGAAGATGAAGAGAGAGAAATAGGAGTAGAAGGGTTGTGTGAGCAAATCATAGCAGAAAACGTTCCTAACCTAGGGAAACACACAGACATCAAAATCCAGGAAGCACAGGGGACTCCAAGATTCAACAAAAACTGACCATCAACAAGGCATATCATAGTCAAATTCACAAAATACTCAGGCAAGGAAAGAATTAGGAAGGCTACAAGGTGGGAAAAAAAGTCCTTAACATACAAGGGAAGACAGAACAGATTTGCAGCAGACCTATCCACAGAAACTTGGCTGGCCAGAAAAGAGTGGCAGGAAATCTTCAACGTGATGAAAAATATGTAGCCAAGAATTCTTTATCCAGCAAGGTGGTCATTCAAATAGGAGAGATTAAAAGTTTCCCAGATAAACAAAAATTAAAGGAGTTCATGACCACTAAACCAGCCCTTCAAGAAATTTTAAGGAGAACCTCAAGGAGAGAAAAGACTGGGGGAAAAAAAAAAGACCAAAAACAACAAAGACTAGAAGGACCAGAGAACACCACCAGAAACTCCAACTCTACAAGAATCACAATGGCAATAAACTCATATCTTTCCATACTCACTCTAACTGTCAATGGACTAAATACTCCAATCAAAAGACATAGGGGAACAGAATGGATAAGAAAGCAAGACCCATCTTTATGCTGCTTACAAGAGACCCTCTTTAGACCTAAAGACACCTTCAGATTGAAAGTAAAGGGATGGAGAACCATCTATCATGCTAATGGTCACCAAAAGAAAGCTGGAGTAGCCATACTTATATCAGACAATCTAGACTTTAAAGTAAAAACTGTAATAAGAGATGAAGAAGGGCACTATAACATAAGGGGTCTATCCACCAAGAAGACATAACAATTGTAAACATTTATGCTCCAAATGTGAAAGCACCCAAATATATAAATCAATTAATCACAATTATACATGATTTTCTAAAAAGAAAATCAATAAGGAAGCCATGGCTCTGAATGACACACTGGACCAGATGGACTTAACAGATGTATTCAGAACATTTCATTCTAAAACAGCAGAATAAACATTCTTTTCCAGTGTGCGTGGAACGTTCTCCAGAATAGACCACATACTGGGACACAAATCAGCCCTCAACAAGTACAAAAAGATCGAGATCATACCGTGCATATTTTCAGACCACAACATTATGAAACCGAAATCAACCATAAGAAAAAATAACAAACACTTGGAGACTAAAGAACATCCTACTAGATCCATCCCTAGAATGAATGGGCTAACCAAGAAGTTAAGGATGAAATTAAAAAGTATATGGAAGCAAATGAAAATGATAGCACCACAGCTCAAAACCTCTAAGACACAGCACAGGCATTCATAAGAGGGAAGTATATAGCAATCCAGACCTTACTAAAGAAGGAAGAAAGGTCTCAGACACAAAACCTAACCTTACACCTCAAATTGCTGGAAAAAGAACAGCAAATAAAACCCAAAACTAGAAGAAATAATAAAAGATTAGAGCAGAAATCAATACTATTGAAACAAACAAAAAAAAAAAAATAGGAGAACAGATCAATGAAACCAGAAGCTGGTACTTCGAAAGAATTAACAAAATTGATAAGCCACTAGCCAGTTTCATCAAAAGGAAAAAAGAAAGGTTCCAATTAAATAAAATCAAGAATGAGGGGCGCCTGGGTGGCTTAGTCGGTTAAGCGTCCAACTTTCACTTAGGTCATGATCTCGCAGTACGTGGGTTCGAGCCCTGTGTCGGGCTCTGTGCTGACTGCCGGCTCAGAGCCTGGAGTCTGTTTCAGTCTGTGACTCCCTCTCTCTCTGACCCTCCTCTGCTCACGCTGTCTCTCTCTCTCTCTCCTAGAAATAAATAAAACATTTAAAATAAATAAATAAATAAATAAATAAATAAATAAATAAATAAAATCAAGAATGAAAGAGGAAAGATCACAACCAACACAGCAGAAATAAAAACAATATTAAGAGAATATTATGAACAATTATACACCAATAAAATGGGCAATCTGGAAGAAATGGACAAATCCCAAGAAACATATAAACTACCAAAACTGAAACAGGAAGAAATAGATAATTTGAGCAGACCCATAACCAGTAAAGAAATCGAATTAGTCATCAAAAATCTCCCAAAAAACAAGAGTCTAGGGCCAGATGGCTTTTCAGGGGAATTCTACCAAACATTTAAGGAGAGTTAAGACCTATTCTCTTGAAGCTGTTCCAAAAACTAGAAATGGAAGAAAAACTTCCAAACTCTTTCTAGGAAGCCAGCATTACCTTGATTCCAAAACCAGACAAAGACCCCACTAAAAAAGAGAACTATAGACCAATCTCCCTGATGAACATGGATGCAAAACGCCTCAACAAGATATTAGCCTACCGGATCCAACAATACATCAAAAAAATTATTCACCATGACCAAGTGGGATTTATACCTGGGATGCAGGACTGGTTCAATATCCACAAAACAATCAATGTGAGTCATCACATCAATAAAAGAAAGGACAAGAACCACATGATCCTCTCAAGAGATGCAGAGAAAGCATTTGACAAAATACAGCATCCTTTCTTGATAAAAACCCTCAAGAAAGTAAGGATAGAAGGATCATACCTCGAAATCATAGAAGCCGTATATGAAAGACCCAATGCTAATATCATCCTCAATGGTGAAAATCTGAGAGTTTTCCCCCTAAGGTCAGGAGCAAGACAGGGATGTGTCCACTGTCACCACTGTTATTCAACATAGTACTGGAAGTCTTAGCCTCAGCAATCAGACAACACAAAGAAATAAAAGGCATCCAAATCAGCCAGGAGGAAGTCAAAGTTTCACCCTTCACAGATGACGTGCTACTCAATATAGAAAACCCAAAAGATTCCACCAAGAAACTGCTAGAAATGATCCAGGAATTCAGTAAAGTGGCAAGAATAAAATCAATGCACTCGGGGCGCTTGGGTGGCTCAGTCGGCTAAGCTCCGACTTCGGCTCATGTCATGATCTCACGGTTCATGGGTTCAAGCCCAGCATCAGGCTCTGTGCTGACAGCCAGCTCAGAGCCTGGAGCCTGTTTTGGATTCTGTGCCTCCCTCTCTCTCTGACCCTCCCCTGCTCATGCTTGCTCTCTCTCTCTCCCTCTCTCTCACTCAGAAAAAAATAAAACATTTTAAAAATTTTTTTAAAAATCAATGCACAGAAATCGGTCACATTCCTATATACCAACAATGAAGCAAAGGAAATGGAAATCAAGGAACCAATCCCATTTAAAATTGTACCAAAAACCATAAAATACCTAGAAATAAACATAACCAAAGAGGTGAAAAATCTATACACTGAAAACTGTAGAAAGCTGATGAAGGAAATTGAAGAAGACACAAAAAAATGGAAAAATATTCCATGCTCCTGGATAGGAAGAACAAGTATTGTTAAAATGCCAATACTATCCACAACAATCTACATATTCAATGCAATCCCTATCAAAATAACACTAGCATTCTTCACAGAGCTAGAATAAACAATCCTAAAATTTGTATGGAACCAGAAAAGACCCTGAATAGCCAAAGCAATCTGGAGAAAGAAAACCAAAGCAGGAGGCATCACAATCCCAGACTTCAAGCTATATTACAAAGCTGTAATCATCAAGACAGTATGGTACTGGCTCAAGAACAGACACTCAGATCAAAGGAACAGAATAGAGAACCCAGAAATAGACCACAAACATATGGCCAACACATCTTTGACAAAGCAAGAAAGAATATTCAATGGAATAAAGACAGTCTCTTCAGCAAGT